ATGACAGAGGACTGCTGCCTGACTCCACACGTTAGTACTGTCAAGGCTGAGAGACTGAGGTGTACAGTGATAACTGCTGTATTCAAAGCAGCTGCCATGCTCTTGGTGTGTTCTGTGCCTGGCCCCGTCTCATGATGGAGGTGTGGATAAATTACTCTTACCTGGGCTTTTGGTTCAGGGGTCTGGGATAGGCTGAGTTGAATCTGGAGGATAAGAAGAAGAAGGGACAGGCATACTGGGCAGAGGGCGTGGTGGAGGCAACCATCTGGAGGTGACAGGCACATCTGGGGCCCGTAGGTGGTTCACCAAACCTAGAAGTTGAGAGAGAAAGCTGAAGGCGAGAGAGAAAGTCACTCAGAAGAGGGTGTGGAAATAGCAAAGTAGAAAGCGTAAGGAAACCAAAAAGAGGTTTTAAGTGGATCATTCCCTGTTAAGATTTGTCTTTTGGGAGCATAACTTCAGTGTTTCAAGGCGAGCTCATTGGAAGGGGGGAATTAGGAAGGCTGGTGCACTTACTCGGGTAAGCAACGGGCCACACAATTACAACAGGGCTGGGAAAATGGTTGACTTTCAGAGATAGGAAGGAGGTGGAACAGGGGCGCCTGGGTGGCTCAGTGGGTTAAAGCCTCTGCCTTCGGCTCAGGTCATGACCCAGGGTCTTGGGATCGAGCCCCGCATCTGGCTCTCTGCTCCGTGGGGAGCCTGCTTCTTCCTTTCTCTCTCTCTGCCTACCTGCGATCTCTCTCTGTCAAATAAATAAATAAAATCTTTAAAAAAAATAAAAATAAAAAGGGAAGGAGTGGAACATATTGATTGGGCAGCAGCGAAGAGAGGATGAAGGGTGGGTCACTGATTCCTGACTCGGGCAAATGTAGGTGGAACCCATCCATGTGTCCCCTCCCCACACGGATACACACAGGTCTTGTTAACAGCAACTGCATCAAGCCTCAGGCCCAGCATCTCTGGGGGAATACCTGCCGGTCTGCTCTGCTCCGGAGTAGCCCCTGTGATGCCAAGGTCCAGCCTGCCGTTAGCACCTCCGCCCACGCAGACGGAGGCGCAGTGAAAGCTGCTGATGGGAAGGAGGGGAGATCGAGCTACTCAGGAGCTGCTGTTCCCGTCCCGCTCGGGGAGACCAGCAGGGCCCCCGCGCACTGGCCGTGGAATGAACGCCGGGGCTGGCCCGTTCGGCCGCTTTGGGTCTTGTTCTCTGAGAGGCTCTCCCGTCCACTGTCCTTTGTAGCTCATCGGGGACGGTGTTGACTTCACGCCACCGCTTAGACGTCATCTCCTCCGAGAGCTTTGCTTTGACATCTGGAATGAAAGATGGAGTTGTGGCTCTGGGCTGCGCGCACCCTCTTAGTGCCCTCGTGGGGTTACTGGTTCTACCCCCATGGCTCTTGGGGCTCTTCTGCCAGCATGTCGGGTCACCAGGGGAGGGGGCGCTCGCTCCGAGTCGCTGATGCCTGTGGCATCTGGCTCCTGGTTTTCGAACGAATGGATCCAGGAATGAGAAAGGTCCAGAATGCTGAAGAGGAATAGGACTTAAAACAAACAAACCCCGTTATTTCTGGTGGCAGAAAGGAAGATGAGTTCAGGTCTGGATGTGGGCAGTCTCAACAGGATTCAGGTGCAGATGGCCGAGAGGCCACTGAACACCCAAGTGACACTCAGGAGGGTCGGTCGTTGTAGTAAAGCTGGCTGACGTGTCCAGGACCCTACCCCAGTGCCCGGCTCGGTTCTCAGCCCGTTCCTTCTCTTGGCAAAGGGAGCTGTACATTCGTGACAGCAGACGGGAAAGACGGCGGCGTGGGACTGTCCAGAGAGCGTGCCTGAGAAAAACAGGGGGGACAGAACCCGGAGGACACTGGTATATGAGAGCTTAGCCCAGAAAGGGGCACCTCTCAGAAGGGGCAGCCAGAGGGGCAGGGGGAAGCTCAGGGCTTTGGAGGGACATGGGTAAGCGTCCAGGGGAGGGGGCACCGGGGGAGAGCTTATCAGGGGTCTCAGAGGGATCTGAGAAGTGTCCCAGGGCCTCAGCGTCAGAGGCCTGGGAAGCCCTGGGAAGAGCTGTTTGAAGAAAGCCCGGGGAAAGGAAGTTGGTGAGGGCTGGAGGATTTCAGGTTGGCCCTGCGTAAGAGCGGGGAGGGAGGACAGGGTTGTGATTCCCGCCCGGGGAGGTGGGATTGATGGCAGCCAGAGCCCCAATGGAGGAATGTTCTCCGACATCTCTCTCAGCCGGTTTTGTTGTATTTCCTGTGACCCTTTAGATGTCACCGTGCGGTCCTTTCCCCGGCAGGACGGGATGCAGTCCTGCATTACCGGCGGCCGCATTGCTTCCTGCTCAGGCCGCCGCGGGGACTGTCGGGCGCCCACTCTGGCCTCAGCTGCCCTCACTAGGGAGAGTTCCTTTACTCCTTTGCAGGATCAGCTGTTAGTTTCCTGATTTTCCAGGTTGCTGTGGCTTCAGGTGGCTGCGTCTCCCCTTGCTTCCCCCCAGCCTGGTCGCTCGGAGGTCACCAGGCTGCAGGCAGTGGCGGTGCTCAGCGGAGTCCACAGCTGCACGTTTAATAAGGAAACCTCCGTTTCAGCTGGAACCTCGGAGCTTCCAAATGTGCATCTATTTTTTATTTATACTTTGCAGTGACAGACATTAGGTTTCCAACTGGGGAGGTATAGCCAGTGTTTCTAGAACGTGCTATTCAAATGTAAAGTATACCCCAGTCTCCTGATGCATGGAGGCTAAAAGGCCTTCACCTTGTCTGACGGTTCCCGAGTCTATGTCTGGCTTTAACATGCCTCGGGATAATGGAGTCAGGGTATGCAGGGAATGAGGTATTTTTTCTTTGTTGCCTTTTTTTTTTTTTTAAGATTTTATTTATTTATTTGACAGAGAGAGATCACAAGTAGACAGAGAGGCAGGCAGAGAGAGAGACAGGAGGGAAGCAGGCTCCCCACTGAGCAGAGAGCCTGATGTGGGACTCCCTCCCAGGACCCTGAGATCATGACCTGAGTCGAAGGCAGCGGCTTAACCCACTGAGCCACCCAGGCGCCCCTCATTGTTGCTTTTGAGAGAAAATACATTTGATAGAATTTAAAAAATGACTGTAGCTTCTGGAGCCAAAGTAGTTCATCTCTCGATAATCTGCTTAAAAATGTGAGCAAATTATATGATAGCATATGAAAAGGCTACACAATACAAAAATCTACGAAAGAGTTATGTGTAGGTTTTCTTTTAAAAGTAGCCTACGTCGTCAAAGGGAATATAGTTATGCTGTCAGCAAAGTGAAGCGCGCTCAATCAAAGGGACGGGACCAGACATTTCATTCTTGCCAGAACAAAATGGCCTGCAGTCTGCGAAGGTGTCTGTGGGGAGGGACCACTTAGGAGGAGAGGCATGGATGTCTATGTTCTCCAAAGATAGTAACATTTGGTACTCAGATTTTCGATAATAGCATTGAGTACTTGACTGATAAAGAGGCATTTAGCTCCTTCATGACTGAACTTCGTGGTGTTTTTTAACTTTTTGTTGTTAGGACTTATTTTTACTCTTAAAATTCACCGAAGACCCCAAAGAGCTTTTGTTTATTACAGAAGTCATATTGATGGATAATTATTAGGTGAAATTTTTAAAAGATTACCAATCATTTAAAAATGCCAATAAGAAATTCATTAATGTTTATACAAATAGCATGTTTTTATGAAAAATAACTCTATTTTAAAAAAATTAGTGAGAAACAATGGCATTCCTGTGCATTTTTGTTAATCTTGTTAATACCTGGCTTAATTTAAGAGAGCTAGAGCCTTAAATCTGCTTCTGTATTCAGGCTGTCATTTTGGAATATTTCACCATAAGTCATGAAAGAATGAAAGTGAAAAAAGCAAATCATGCCTTATTATATCTGAGAAAATAATTTTGAGCTCATGGACCCTAAGAGTGTTTCAGGGACGTCCTGGGGGTGTTCCTGGGCCACACTTTGAGAACCACTTGGCTAAACCATACGTTCTTTCCTCTTCTGCTCCTGGGGGCCTGGTAAATATTTGTTATATTGACTCCTCAAATGTGTTCACTGATTCAACTTTCCTCTGCAAAAATCCAGAGAGGGGGCCCATTGGGTGAATCGGGACTGAACTCCCTTTCCAGGATGCCTTCCTCCTTAATTAGTCACACCGTAAGAGTCCATCTCAGGCCTCTGACTCAACAGCCAGAGAGGTGCCACTGGACTCTTTTCCCTGCGTCTGATGACATTGCATACTGGTCACAAATCAAGATAAGTAGTTGAGGGAAAAAATATTCCCTTTATAGTACAGTGAGTTCTAGGAAGTCTCAGAGGTTGGTGGGGGAAAGAAGCGAGAATCGTTTCCTAGAAACAGTGGGAAAGCCTCTGCGGAAGAGAGAGGGGCCTGCTGGCACATGGGGTCCACTCTGCTCTCCAGGAAGCATATGTGCTCTTGCAGTTCGCGCTTTCTGCACCAAGGCGGTGGCAGGCGGCCCGAAGAGCGGGTGGGAAGCCGTCCTCAGCTCTCCAAGTAACGGCATCCTCGTTTGCCAAACGCTACGTTCATATTTCTCCCAACTTGTGGGAGAAATATGCCAACTTAGGCTGAAAATACGCATACTGTTAGTATTAAGTTTTCAGACTTTTGATAAAATGTAGGTAAACAATATCAAAAGGTAGCTTAAAACTTAGGCAGTAAATTTTGCTGAAGACAAAGATGTGTACAGCTTAGGCTATTTACGTTGGAGCAAATTTAATTACCCGTCCGATGAGGACAGTCTTCAGGAATCTAGTGGCATGTGCCATTGTTTGACTTGCAAGGAAATGCAAGCAAAAACTGTTTGAAAACAGCATGATTTTGGTCTGCTTTATCTGAATGAGTAGTGGCATTTTCTAACTGCTTGTTTCTTGGGCACGTAAGTCACCGTGGTGCGATCTTACTAATAGTCTTTGAACTTCTTTCCCTGTCCTTGTCTTCCGGCCGCGCGTTGCTGCCTTTAGCGCTTCAGCGTGGAAGGGATCTCCACTGTCATTCAGAATGGCCTCCGCCACACCTTTGGAAATTCAGGTGGAGAGAAACAGGTGCTGGCTTAGCCTTATTTTCCTCATTCTCTGCTTTATTGTTTCTTGTGTAAGCGCAGGTCCTGAGAGCTGGCCGTTTTACTAATGTACTAAGACTGTTGCTTAAAAAGAGAGAAGTGAAAGTTCACCATTTTTACAGTCTTGATAAAGCATACGGTTACTTTAACATGTTTCAGAGCTCCATTTTCCACTACCTTTAAACAAATTGCATTGACATCATGAGTTGCATGTATAGAATGTAGAACTAAACTAGAATATGCCATGCTAATTCCAAAAGTTTGAGAAACAAGACGTCATTTTGTGGGGAGAGAAAAGGTAATGTTGGTGTCTTTTTGATAAGAGTCCTAGGTCAAACATGTCAGTAAGAGTATATATATCTCTTCTCTCCTTTTAAGTGAAATTCCAGTGTTTATAAGGTGTATCATATAGTGAGCCAACTCACGGTCTGCCAAGTGAGGCATGTGACCTGATTTACACAAATCTATACGTGGATAGAATTACACAGTCAAATGTGTAGCAGTTTGCTTTATATTAACTTTTTTGTATAATGATTTAAGGAGGATCGTGAACACAGGAAACCCAACCATATTAGTGAGTGTGCTTAAAATTACTTTTCACAATTTGAAATTTTCACTTCAAAAGCAAAACTTTTCAATGTAGCTCTTAAGCGTGAGAAAATGTGTGGAATGTAGCTTTTGACAGTTTATTGAAAGAAAACATTTGAGTGTAGGGTTTTTACTAAAAGATAGTTTCTGTATTGCCCAAGAAGGGCAATAATATTAAATAATCCTTCACACTGACATTTCCAGCTCTGTTAAGGGATGGTCTAAAATTTACTTATTATTTTTTTATTCTGGCACCTCTACCTCTCTCAAATGCACAGGATGGCATAGTAGCTTCCAGACTGACCCAGACACGCCAGTGGGACAGGAAGCCCGAGAGTCTAGCTGGGTAGTGCACTGGTGGGCGCGCGGCTTCCTGATGGTCTCAGAGGCCAGCTTGCCTGACACACACTCTATTCATGAAACCCCCGGGGGCTTGTTTCCAGCTTCCGGTGTATTGTTCACAGAGAAACATTCAGTGCTACCATTGGGTATCACCTTGGAGAAGTCTGCACCAAAAGATGGTGGGAATTTTTTCTTAAACATGGAATAATTCACTTTTCCTACTTTTCCTCAAAAACCGTTTTACCTTGTCTTTTGATTACGAGGTCACCCACGGATGAAAGCACTCACGGAGGATTAGGAATAGAGCGGAGATTTAGAGCAAGGACTGAGTAATGGGTGGGTCTCAAAAGATTCTGAGTAAGACAACAGTAGATCTCCAGATGAGCACATGCAAACCACACCGAACTATATAGTTTTTGGTGGAGTGGTCCGAACAGGAACATCTGGACAATAATTTTTAGATTCTCTTTTCATGGGACATATTTATAGGCCATAACTCTGATACTTGCAAGCCTTTACAGTAGCGAACGAGGCCATTTGTCTCGGTATCAGACGTGAATTTTTATTATTCACTAGGCCATCCTCTCCTTTCACTTTTCTCTTTTCCTTTAATGCCTTTAAATATCCTAAATAATTTAAAATAATAATAATAATAATAATAACAATACACCTCTAAAATTGATATGTGTGTCTATGGTAGCACATGACCATTTTGTTCAACCAGAAAAAAATGGCCTGAAACAGAATTTTTTGGGCATTGGGGATGATTTGGTTTATGCAGAACTGTTAAAACTACATTTTTAGTTTTAAATTACTATTTTTAAAGTATGTTGAAAATATACAAGGAGAATGTTAGATAAGACTTTAATAATTAACAAATTGAACAGATCACCCTCAGACCTAATTTTGTGAAATTTTCAATAACTGAAAGGTGAAAAAAAATGGATATTTGTGTTAACATTGGGCTTGATTAAAGCAGACAGAGGTGGGCCAAAAAAAAAAAAATGAGCTCCAACTGAGATAGTAAGATACTTCATGTTTCATGTTATAAAATAGACCTTTAGTAACTATATCAAATTTTTGCAGATAAGGTCATTCAGATTTAAGTGACTTTTTTTTTTTTTTTTGACTTGGCAGTACTTGACAACAGTCATTCCTTATGAGAAAAAAAATGGACCACCGTCTGTTGAAGATCTTCAGATATTAACAAAAAGTGAGCAAAGACAAAATTAAACTCTTATCATATTTACTTTTGCTGATTCTGCTGCTTTCGGTTGGTTGATTGTTGCTGTTATTGTTTTGTTTTGTCAATTTAGGGTAGTAAATGATGGATGATGTCATTATTTACTGAGAATGAAACCATGGATGGCTTATAACATCAAACATGACACTTAAGTCCAGAGTTGATTTGTATTTTTTGTGCTTTGTCTTACCTTTTGAAATATTTACAAGCTGAACTTTTGAGGAAAAAAATGTAACTTGGTTCTCCATCATCTCTTGGATGTTTAAGTACATATAATTTTTTTTTAAGATTTTATTTATTTATTTCACAGAGATCACAAGTAGGCAGAGAGGCAGGCAGAGAGAGGGGAAGGGAAGCAGGCTCCCTGCTGAGCAGAGAGCCCGATGCGGGGCTCGATCCCAGGACCCCGAGATCATGACCCGAGCCGAAGGCAGAGGCTTAACCCCTCTGAGCCACCCAGGCACCCCTAAGAACATATAATTTATCAATAAATAAGGTCTGTCATGGATCTTCTATAAATAGGACTGTCAGTAACTCAGTAGGAAAGATTTAGAATGTGGTCTGTAACACTCTTCTTTCTTAGGAATGTAGAACCTCAAATCCAAGGTAATAGTCACAGGTAGAATTTGAATTGATAGTAAAATTTTAAGAGTCATTCAGCAAATATTAAAAAGGCCAGTTCTGTGCCAGGCTGTGTTCTGGACATTGAGATGTTTTAGTGAACAAAGCAGAAAAGATACTCCACCTTCAAGAGGCTTGTATTTTAAAATAATTTGTTAGACTTAAATATATATTCCCCATTGAATCTTTCTTATGATAACCATAAATGAGCCATGAATTCTAGTTCGGTCCTTGTTATTTACAGTAATATCCTTGGATGTTACTTACTTTCTCATAGTCACAATGAAAAAGAAGGATAAAAATATTTTCTGTTTCCCTCATAGTAAATAAATGAACATATGTGTGATTTGGGTTAAGTCAGTTACTCAGCTTTGTTTTCCTTGAAGGGACTGGATTTGCTGACCTGTTAGAATCTTTGCAACTGTAAATATTTGTAATAACTGCTGATTTAAAGAGGGAGCCAAGTGAGAGGGAATCACAGGAATGGATATTGGTGATGACACCTATTTTGGAATTTAGGAATATGGAGGCATGAATGGGGTGAGCTCAAGGGAGCTGTCTGCCTGCTACCTGAAGTTATTATTCCTTCCTTTGGTGAACAATACTTGCAAAGCCTTTAATAATCAATCAGATGACGCTAGCCAGTCTAAAATAGAGAATGAAGAGATTAACTGGGTGGCCAGCCCTCTGATTTTCCAGAGGAACTCACGAGACGTAGTATCTAAGATCACAAGGGGAATGGTTAATTATAGGGCTGGGTCTCTTAATTCCCAGTCCACTGTACTTTTTAATAATGCTGGCTTATGGCATGTGATTTTATGTAGAACTGAAAATAAATCTAAAGCATGATGGGAAGCAGAAATACTGAACAGAGTAGCCTTCTCAGAAGGGGACATAAATATTGCCTTGGAAGCCAGAATTATTGAAAGACCTCGGCTTCTCAGATCAAGGACAGACATACTTGGCCAAACCAAAGTCATCATAATTCCCACACCAAAATGTTCTCAGGCTGATTCTCAGGTGACGTATTTGTAGACGGACACCATTTGGAATCTCTGGGTGAGTGAACGTGTATGGGGGCGTGAACTAATGTCCAAGCTAATATGACTTTCACTTTGAAAATAAGAAGTGGTTATCTTGGGAAAACTTGGGGGAGAACTGGAACCTCTGCTTCCACCACCTTGTAGATGTTAGCCACGGGAGAAGCCCTGGGGAGATGGGGTGTCATTTCTGGTTATGTAGCCTTCCTCGGAAAAGCTGTTGGAGGAACACAGCCGTAGTAAGAAGAGCCAGGATTAGTTGTGTTCATCAGTACGGCTAATGCTTACACAGCATATATTCCGTGCGGGACACTATTCCAAGTCTGTCACATCTGAATTAGTAACTTGGTAGTCACAAGCCTTTGAGACTGGTCTGGGGATGGTTCTCATTTTACAAATGAGGAACTTGGTGCACTGGGCGGCTAAGGAACGAGTTCCAAGTCCCACAGCTGGGAAGTGGGAAAGGCCAGGGTGTAAGCCCAGGTTGAGGACTTGGCCAGTTACACCACGTTGTTTTGTCCTATTTTGTGGGGAAAGAGTGCGGCATTTTCCCCGGGATGCTCTGAGGAGAGTACCGTGCGAGTGTAGCATTTCTTCACGTGTTTATGTGTACCTCAGTTGCTGAAAGTTTTAACCATTCTAAAAGCCGATTTTTCTATTTGTCTTTGCTTAGAGATAAAATTGTCAGAGTTCCTTTAGGATAAGGCTAATTCACCAAGGTTCCTCCATAGTCTAGAAGCAGCCTGGCTGGGTGCTGCTCTGTGAGGTCAGTCTTTGCTTTGGTCTCTCACAGTTGCCGAGAAGGCTGACAGACATCCTTGGAGAGTGTAGCTAACTGGTCACTTATCTTAGACTCTCCAGCTTGTGCGATCTGCAGACTGAGGCTCTCCTGCTCCCTAGGGCCCACGGAAGTGCTCACGATGGGACCTCACTTCCCAGTATTTATGATGACAAACCTAAGGCTCTGTGTAAATAACCCCATTCCTCTTTCCTGGTTCCACTGTTTGGAAGTTTTAAATTGGGGAGAGGAGTCTCGGGTAATAGGACCATTGTCACCTGAATAAGGACTTAACTACATTCTTGAGCATTTGTGGTTTTATTTCCGTATCCAGAAAATAATAGTTTACACGGATGTGTTATACCATATAATTAATTAAGGCTACAATGTAATTGAGATTTTCCATCTGAATTTGAAGTTGTTGCCTTATATTTCTCTCCTTTATTTTGTAGTTCTTCGTGCCATGAAAGAGGACAGTGAAAAGGTTCCGAGCTTGTTAACTGATTATATACTGAAAGGTGAGTCTTATGATATGTGTGCAATGGTTGGGAAGTTTTGATGAGTTGATGAACGGATCGTCTTGCTAATACATGAAAGAGTAACTTCCAGACACAGTTTTATCAATGTCATTTGTGCAGAGTGAGGATAGATGCGTGGCTTTCTTATGCTACCTATGAGTTATAGTATATAAAATTCAACTTTTATTTGGGGTCTTGAGCTGGTGGAAATAAGTTGACAATCCGCCGTAAGCATGGAGGCAGGCAGTGGAGGAAATATTGACATTCCCACACTTCTGTGAGTCTGAGGTGTTGACTGACACTGGGTGGGGTTGAGTAACGTGGTCTCTGCCATCTTGGGGATGATGGAAAGGGAAGGACCGATTGTGAGGATGTATGAAAGAGGGGACAGTCAAATCAGTGAAGAGTCCCAGAGGAAATATGAAAGGGATTGCTGTAAGGGACAGGGAAGGGAGGGAGAAAAAGAGTGGATTTTCATCAACTTGAACAGTGAAAAATGAGCCATAAATCTTAGCAAGATCAATATCACAGGTTGGGAGCAGGGATGAGGTGAAGGAAGGTCATTTAAGAAGTTAATGAAGACACTTACTTTGCTGAGGAAAGAACAAATTTGGATGACGAAGAGGGAACCGATGAACTTATTATAGGCAAAACTAATACTTTTCAATGAAATTATTTTCTGTAAGGTAGCAGTTACTCAGGTGATGGATTTTCCAAGCATCCTAAAATGCACCCCATAGGGTGTGATCCAATATTGAGAGCAATCCTCTCTGGTAACATTTTCCTTTGGTTCTCTCTCTTCTGCGTCCGATGCTGGCTGAACCATAGGAAGCGGGGGATTTCTGAAATGTTAGGTAACTCAGATGAGAAGTTTCTTTAACCTTAGCCTTGTAAAGAGGGAACCTCAGAAGGTACTGGGAGCGCAAACTGAGTGATGCGTTAATTCTCACCTGTAAGAGACTTGGACTGGAGCCAGTCATTAGTAGGTTAGGGGTGGGGGTAGGGGTTTGCAGATAATCAATTGAATTTATACATAAGCTGTGTTCTTCTGATGGAGGGCTTTTTCTTCCTATTACATTCTGAATGTTCTTTTTTAATACCTGACACCTTGGTTTGTTTTTATGTTGTGCTAGCATTGGTGTGAAAGCTGGATTGTTCTGAGGTTTGTTCTTACACGTGTGAGACAGGAATGAGATGAACATAAAGAACATGTCTTAATTTTTAATTATAGCGGCTTCCTAGGGCACTACCGTGAGGACCAGAGAGAGAATGAGTTTCTGAAGCATTCTCTGGCTGTTTCATCATTTGACCGCATGGAAGAATTTTATGACCCAGAGAACAGAGTGTTCTGGGGGCAAATGATGTTGAAGTTTTTTCCTCTGAAGACCCAGGCCTGCCACTGAACCTATACCACGGGCCTTAGGGAAGCAGCACTTACTGATTCTGTGCCCCGCGCTCCAGCCCGTGAGCCAGGCCGGTCTTTTCTGGGGCTGCTTCTCAGAGCCGCTTGTGTGCGTGTGCTGTGGCTTTGCCTCAGCCTGAGGTGTGGGTGGAAGAGCAGCCAGGGTTCAGACCCAGGTGGCGACTCCACGGTCTGAGCATGGAGTAGGCCTGTGTGTGATGCTCAGGTGTTCGTTCGCACGGGAAGGTGTGGACGGGGGGTATGGAGACGGGGACTGACCGAAAACGCTCTCTTCCACCCATCCTGGAAGTCTGCAGCCAGTCCGCGATTCCTCTACCTCAGAGTGCAGGTCCCCACCCACTAGAAGGTTCGCCTGGCAGGGGGGTCCTCCTCAAGGGAACACCCTCCTTCCGCTTTCTTGGTGGGACTTGCCCTAGTTGTCGTAACAGCAAAGACTATGGCTTAGCTGCTCAATGTTCATTTTAATGTGAAGGTGTGAAATGGAAGAAGGTAGAAAAGGGGCCTCATTGGGCCAGAGAAAGGTGGGATGGATGCTGTTTGGGCTCCTTACGGTTTTTCTCATACCAGCTGAATGACCCCGCTGAGGCTTCGATTGTACGGAAGGCTGGCAGTGTAGACAGGCTTGCTGCTCTGTGTGTGTGCAGACTTGCAACCCTTCTTTCACTTCCTGGGGAGCTGCTTGGCCGTGTTCTAAGCCTGATGGTACAGGGCTAACGTTATGGGTTCTTAATCTCTTAAGTGGTACCCTAAGTGACATGGCCTTTTGGTATCTCATTTCTGGGCAATTTTAATAAATGTGTCTTGAGAGAACTTTTCACTGTTGGCTGTAGCCTTTTCCAACCTTTTTAAAAAAGTTGCTACTGTAGATTCTTTGTTCTCATGATTAATAGTATATTTTTGTATACATATAGTGTATATACATCTTGTGTAAATATATATGAAATCTACATTTCTATTTAAAAGTTTTTGTTCTTCCTCTAGTTCTCTGCCCTACATAGGGCAGCTTTGCGACAGGAGCGGCTTTCTTTCGTGGACTACAAGCGAGGTCTCGTGTAGCGTTCTGAAAGCTGGCTACCATTCCCTTCCTGCCACTGGAAATCAGCACACTCGAACTTGGGTTTGTGATTCAGTATTACTAGATCATGCTTTCACTAATTCTTTATATTATGACCCATGAGCAGTACGGCACTGTTCTCAATTCTAGAGGTGTTTTTGTGTTAAATACTAACAGAGCTCTTCTCTCCTCCAATTTGTAGAGGAAGGGGGAGTCCTTTTGTGCATGCGCAGTTGTATTTTTCCTGAACTGACAGTACGCCCAGTTGAGTGTTTGACTTTCTAGATCTGAGCTGCACTAAAGAACTAGATTAAAGCACTGAGTGATTTATGTTGTAGCTGTTCTTCGATGGTGGCAAGAACCGACACTGATCTTTATAAGGGGACTGTCAGGATAAATATTACCTACCAGTATTATTCAGGGAGATGGACGCTGACCTGTGGGCTGTTGTTGGAAGAAGCCAAAGCGGAACGTGCGCTCCGTGGCCGCAGAGGGCCCGGGGGGTAGGGGGTGGGGGTGGGAGGGCTGACAGGGCTGATGCTGGAGGTTGCTACCGGTTTCTCCACTGTTCATGTGTTAACGATGAAGTTGCCATTCACTTTCAAAAATTTGTATTGTTGAACTCTGTATGTTTTTATGTTTTGCTTCCCATGTCTGCAAAGAAGTGTCCTTTACAGGGAGTCTGTGTTCCTTGAGGTGCTTTCATGTCTGCGCAGCCCCCCTCCCCCACTCCTGCTCTGTGTCCTTCGTGCCGGAGTGTCCACCCCATGTGCTACCCTGGGAAGCAGCTACTCATCCGCCTGGCTCTGGTCCTGAGACACTTCTCTGCCAGTTCCAGTCAAGTCATTGCCATTTAATAAATGTTGGAAAAAAGGGTAATGTATGTCAGAGAGATTTTTTTGTGTGTGTGTTTTTGTTGTATTTCTTAAGATTTTTCTTCCCTTGCAGTGCTAGATTCTCCCCTTTCCCATTCTACATGTTGTCCATCACTACGGCGTGTAAGCTGGTGAACCCGATTAGCTTCATGATGGTTAAGGAGGGGAGAGACAGACTTTTCCAGGTTGCCCCGGGTTGCTGTGGGATGAGAGAAGGCCTGCTCTTTTCCTGGGTCTTAGACATTCCCCACAGCTATGACAGCTCCCTCCCTCAGACCGCAGGAGTGTGGGAAGAGTTACAGAGGACCTGGCAAGGGGCTTTCAGGTTCCAGCTCAGCATCTGGGAGCACACAAGGCCCATCCCTATTCCTCCTTCCACTGTGTAACTGGGACACCAGGGCTGCCAAAGCAGCAGCTCAGGTTGGAGCTGGAGGCTGTCGTGGCATCTCTGTGATTTCCCGGGGCTGTGAGGGGCTTGCGCTTGTCTTGTCTTGTCAGTGGTTTGACAGAGACTGTGGGATTTACTCCCTGCCCTCAAGGTGATGAAGATGCATACTTACATAATACAATTAATAACTTCAACTAAATGCAAATTTGTGAAAATACTGCCTATACTAAGAAAAATACTACTTTAGAAGGCATAGGAGAGAAGTCCTTGAGGATAGGGTTTTTTTTGTTTGTTTGTTTTACAAGAAATTCAACAGTGTTCTGTTTATAGTTCATTTTTAAGTTGTTGCTTCTGGGGTCTATAAGAAAGTATTTTTTTCCTTTCAAATCCCAGTCACCTGATAATGAGATTTCTCTGATTTTGCTTGATAAATTTGCCTCTTCAGTGGTGAAGCGCCAGCGTTTCCCACCTTGGCCCTTCTCGTCTGCATGATGAATGGATTTTGATACCAGTGAGGAGAGGCTGAGCAGGTTTCTGGTTTGTCACTGAGGACAGGTAGGTTTTGAGTCTAAGAGCAGCACTGAAGTGCCATCTATCCCGAGACAGGATTTTTTACAAGGATTTGCAGGGCAAGGCCTGCCCTCTAAGAGCAGCCCCGGAGCTGCAGGGTCGTTGTCAGATGGATAACCTTAACACACAAGGACTGCTGGTCCTTTCTGTGATTGAGATTCAAAGTGTTGATTTGTTGCCAAGAACCCAGCTGCAAATAATTCCCTCATGGCTCATGGTTTGAGGAAAACAAAATAAACCGTAGGACCCCCAGTGCACTCCAAGTGCCATATATCTATTTTATTCTTCAGGAAATTATATTTGTTTTTCTTTTACAAGAGCACAACAGGAACCAAAGTAAAAGAGTAATAGATACAGCACTCAGGATAAATCATATCTTTAAAATAATAATAAAAAAATTTACACCTCATCCTATATCCTGTTAGTATTTTCATAATATGGCCATGATTGAAAAAACAAAAAGCAAGCATTTACAATTCTTTGATAGAGATTTTTTATGCCAGGAATGGATTAATTGTCGACAAAATTTTATACTAATCAGGCTGATGTAAATCTATTTTGGTAACATCGTATCATTAACAAATTTATTTTGGAAATAGATAAAAATATTGCCCCTTGATAATAAATCTTTTTTTTTCCTTTGATGCAAACAGCTAGAACACCTTTTTCTTTTCCTTTTGATATTCTAAGACAAAAAAAAATGGTTAATCTTCAGATTAATAAATTAGGTCATTATAATAATAAATTAATTTTTTTTTAAAGTTCAGCAACCTCTGTCCAAGTATTTACAACAATACTTGAAAGTTCCTTTACAAAACAGAACACATTTTCTTTTCACATTAAGCATACTGGGTATCTGTGTCTTTCACAACAAGCATTTTAAAAAGAAAAATCAATGCACAAATGGGTAATTAGTATAAAAGTGCTAAGAGCTGTTTGAAAAGTTAACACTATAGTATACAGTCAGTTCTATTTGAGGCAAACTACAACAAACTTCCAGCTTATTACGGACAATATTCCAGTAGTTGTTTCAAACAGTTGTTTGAAGAAAAAAAAAAAATCCAGGAGCTGATTAGTGACGCAGATAAACTGCCATCAGTGTTTCTGGCCGTGAGCAAACTGAAAACCAACAGAAAGCATATCCGAATGAGGAAGATTTTAGTAAAGGAATACCGTCTCCATAGCACGTGTGATGCTGACTGCAAAAGGCGTGTGCGTACACACACTCACACTCACACACACTCACCACACACATCTTTCTTCCCAATTAAACTGCAGGTAGAATGAGATTTTGTGTTCATAAAAATTTGTAGGTGATCAAAAGCATTGATATGGAATGCCTGTTTGTCTTTGTTCTGGTTAAAATCTCATAAAAATACATTCAACAGGAAAACATAAATTGTATGTGTATAAATATATACGCATATATATATTATATACACACGCACACAAATACTTTTGTTTTTTTGAAGCATAAGATAGTTACATAAATATTCCTATAATTGCTAAAGTTTAAGGAGGCATTTTTTTTTTTTGAGCTTCAACAAAGGTGCTTGAATAATACACAATTAAAATGAAGTAGTTTCTATTTTGTAGAATCAGTATATAATAAGGAAAACAAAAATCCCCAAACAGTCCTTTTTAAAAAAAGTTTCTTCTTAAGCTAGAGCTTCAACAAAAACTATGAACACCCAACAAGAGAACAAAGCCACGACAGACAATGAAGTACAGCCCCTGGAAATACCTGGTGTCCTTCGCCCTCTCCCTCCTTCCTGCCACACTGTGGTAAGAAAAGCTCCAGTGCTCACATCAAGAAATGACCTAGGTCTTGTTCACTCGCTGACTCTGCTAGGAACTGGCTGATTGCTTGCAAGAAAACAAAAGCAGCAAAAAGTTTAACTATCTCTGTAACGACCCGCATCAGAGAAACACAGCAGCGCATTTCTCCTGCTTCCTCACTGCCCACCGCAGCGTGACTGTATAGAAAAGAAACTCATGGCTTTAGCCCGGGGATGGCTAGCGACAGGTGCTGGTGTGCTCGTCTGCAGTCCTAAGGTGACCGTGGCAGCTGGATCACAAGGCCTTTGTTTCCCGCTCACTCGGCCCGAGCTTTGAAGCAACCAGTGCAGTCTTCAGAGCAACAGGCAAAAAAAGCTCCTCTGGGCCACTCAATTGCTTTTATTTTAACTGGATTTCTCCCCCCACCCCCGAGCTCAGCTGACCAATCTGCCTTCCTACCACCACCCTCCCAACCCATCTCCCCCACTGAACTCACTGTCCCCGCCCCCAAATATCTCTACAGCTATATTACAAGCAAATATATCTTAGCAACTTTGAAAACTTTGGTTCTAAGAAAACGCTTGGTCAGTTATCTTGAGGAAAGTGGGAATGCTTTGTTCTGCACACTGCTGTAGACAGAGCCCATCCCGGGGAGTTCTCAGCGCTGTACATCAAGTCACAATCCGAAACGATCCACTAAGCAAGTGCACGAATTCTAGTTTACTCTTAAAAGCAGATTTAGTCGTTTTCTGTCTCTCAAACCCTCAGCCACGTCGCCTGCCTTCACACTGTCTGGTAGAAATTGTCCGCCTGTAGGTGGCTCTGTTTTTGCATGCTGTAGAAGCCACTGAATCTGGCGTCCGGTTCAGCGATTCTTAGCATCCTCTGCGAACTGTCCACCGGGACTCTGCTTCCTTTCTTGCAGTCCACAGACACCAGCTGATTATTTAAGGAAGAAGGCTATTTAATGAGAGGAGGGAAAACCACAAAGAATTAGCTCTTTTATGTATCCTAAGTTAACAAATGCAGTCCCAACTCAAATGAGGTGATAGCTTCGCAGGACACCGGCGGGCAGACTGGACGTGCAGTCCACACCCTGTTCCGGCGCGAGCGGTCGTTTTGTGAAGGGTCCTGCCTCACAAACTGGTCTGCAGGTGAACTGTCAATAAGTTAGGTCAAAGGGAGTGGACGAAGGAACTGAGAAAAGAGACTGGTGAGGTCACGGACTATTTTCAAATCCTTAACGTGCGGTAAGGGCTGAGGGAGGAGTGGGAGTCCCCAGCGAGCCGGCCCCGGGTCTGTAGGCAGCCGGTCCGTGCACGTTATGAGCTGGTGGTCTCTCTTCCCAGCTCTGTGTCCTGGGGACTGGGTCTTGCCCAGCCCCCGCGTCCTGACCCGCAGGTGCCCAGCGAAGGTGGTGCCCAAAGCGTATTTCTTGAAAGAAAATCGGAGGCCGGATAAGCATCTGACGGGAATTTTATATGGAAGAATTGTCTAGATGGTAAACTGGATTAGAATACTTATTCAAGCTGTTTTCGGTTCTTAAGGGTAGAGGATTTATTTTTAAAGAGAAAACCTCTATGTGAAACGCGGACTTACGGTTGGGAGTCATGACTTCCTCCCTTTAATGGAAATAAACTCCCTTGGCTTTTAAAATAGGCTTATTTGGCAACAAACACATATTCTTTCTTTCTCAGTGTGAACTAGAAATATTTTCT